TGCTGCAGTGGAAACTTCAGCATTTGGGTCTTCTTGCTTTTGTGTCTTTTCCTTCTTCTTCTTTTTCCTTTTCTTTTTCTTCTTGGCCACAGACGATGCTGCATTTCCCTCACATTCTGAGTTTGGTTTGCTCAGATATTCTTTCAGACTTCTCAGCACCTCTTTCAGCTTTTCATTCATTTTCATATCAGCTGATGTCAGTATGTCCTCGGGCACTGAAGTTACACCCACTGATGTAAAAATGTTAGCTGCCTGTTCGATTAACCGCAGGTTTGCCAATATACCGTATGTATAGACCCTGATGTTAGTCGGGCGCTTCTCATTTACAAAAGGGGCGACTGTTCTGCATAACTTCTTGAAGAAGTCTAAGTCCCAGTCCTGTGTGCCTTTTGTTTTCTGTGTTATCACATACAGTGTTTGTAGCACAGATTCACAAACACCACTGTCCTGTGAGTCAAGCTGTTTCAGTAGTTGTTGAACTATTGCTACCGCATGCTCATTTGTTATGTCATCCATTGTGCAGAAAACTGCATTTAAACTTTGAACTGCCCTCTTTACATGTATCTTAGGGATGTTTGGAAAGCGACTGGCTGCACCTGCAATATAAGTATTCACATTTTCAGTTTCCTTTAGCCATTTAATACACGCCTGGCAGTATTTATCTGCACCTGGCCCTGTAACAGTAAAGAGAAGTTCAATCATGGTTAGATGGCTCTGAGGATCTTCCAACAGCATCTGACTGTTAACATTTCTGAACACTTCTTCAGGTGTTTTTTCAGGAATAGCTATTTCCGTATCCAAAAAATATCTGAGTTTGGAACACAATTCATTTCCTTTGGATGCAATTTTATGAATCATCTCAGATATTCTTCTGTTGTGAACTGAATGCTCAGGATGAGTCATAGGTAAGAGTGTTACCGGTGCACCAGCAGAGAGGAGCATGTTTACGACATCTTCTCTGTCATTGGTGGCAGCAGTAAGTAGTGGTGTGAAAGCATGGCATCTTTTTAAATCAGCTTTTGCTTCTAGAAGTTTCTCCACAAAAAAAAGTGGAGCTTTGGAGAGTGAGACATAATGCAAAGGTGACCAGCCACACTGAGAAGGTATATTTGGATCTGCACCCTGTTTTAAAAGATAAGAACATATATCTGTGTTGTGTTTTACAACAGCAGCAATCAACGGAGTTATGCATTCCTTCCACTCTCTAGAAGGGTAAAGTCCATTAATGTCATTGTGCCTCAGTAACTTCTTGAGTTTTTTGCTGTTATTGTTAAATATACACTGTACTACAGGGTGTGTGTCTGCTGTTTGGGGGAGTGTCAGTTGAAACTGAAAATTCATTTCTTTGATTGCCTGTGGAAGAGAGAAAGTTTAATATTAGCAAAGCGATACTGAATTTGGTCTTTCTTTAAACTTAAGAAAAGCATCTCGGTTTGTTTTATTTTAACAGCAGTTTGTGAAATGGTTTCAAAAACCTAAACAAAAGTCTGTGAAAACATATCAACTTGGAATAGACAGCAACAGATTTGGACACAAATAATGAACGTAATATTATCCATCCATCTTCTTCTGCTTATACGGGCTGGATCGTGAGGGCAGAAGATACAAAAGCATATTCTTAATAAAGATATCTTAGACAAAGGTTGCCATGCCACTTCCTTGTTGAACAAGGCAAACAAACATAACCCAACCCAAGGATTTTAAAAGGGATCAAATTACAACCCAACACTCACTGTGGGATCAGTGCTTTCGTTAAGCAAGCAGAGATTATTTTACAATACTGTTATATATATATAAGAAACTCTTGTTATGGGCACCGGTACAGCCGACCTGACTGAGCATGTGACCCACATGCTATTGCCCGGAAACAAATCCTCCCCTAGGCCTTTTACTGCGTGTCTGCCCCCTGCTTTCTCTCTCCCAGTTTTTTGTCTTTTCTCAATAAAGGCTAAAAAAATACCTTCCCCTAAAAAACAACTATCAGAGGATTGTAAGGAAATTAACTTACAGTGTCGACGTAAAGTAGGGCTGTTACATTTAGGTCAAGATCTCAGGTATCTTCTGGCTCCTCCCATTTGTACAACACATACAGCAAACCTGTTAGACTGGGAGTGGGAGGGGTTGAGTGCATGTCAGGATTTGTAGGCTAATTATCATAGGTTTGTTAAGGTGTTTCCATAAGAACAGATATTTCTCAGTAAGTATGTGACACACTTAGCATAAGGAAAATAGAATAATTTTAAGTTATTTTAGTAATTATAGTTACTTTTGCTGAGACACCAGGAGATGCCGGACTAGAGCAGCGCAGATACTGAAGGACCCGTCCCATCCTGGCAACAAACTGTTCCAACTTCTGCAATCTGGTAGAAGGTTCCGCATCATCCAGGCAAGGACAGAGAGACTCAAGAGGAGCTTCTATCCCCAAGCCATCCGGGCCCTAAACACCCAATTCCTTTAATTTTAAATATGTTTATATTGTCTATTCTGTAACATAGTCAGATTGTCTATTCTTATTTAATTCACTTAATGTACAGAATTCACTTGCTTGCTGCATACATTTGAAAAATGCAAGCCGTACATATAATATTATTGTAGGTTAATATCATGATAAGTAATGGTTAAAAAGGAGGGTCTCAGCAATGCTTACAAAATACTGAACTGTTTTGAGGCAACCAACCAACACACAACTAGTAATGTACAGTTGGTACAAAGAGTACACCTGCAGTGTTCTCTCATGGTCCCTTGGCCTTGGACCCAGGGTTTTGAGATTTGGGGATGATGAGGGGTTTTCTAGTTTGTGTTTTTTATAACCTTGTATCTTGGTCCTTTATTCTTTTTTGTTATTTAGCCTGTTGGTTACAGTGTTACGTTTACTTTCTTGGTGCTTATTATGATCCTGTATTCTGTGCCTTTTGTTCCGCTTATACAAATTCTATTTAACGCAAGTGATTCATGTTTTTTTCTCAGTTTTAATCTATACTGTATCATCAACCCATTTACAACTTCACTGATTAACAAATAATAAAACCCAATGGTCATATTTTCATACATTTATTGATAGTTAACTGATTAATGTGTGTGAACCATAATCATATAAAAGAATGGTAAAGCTTGATATCATTCACATTGAAGTATTTTTCTACAGTCATTTGTTAGGATCTACTGCGCATAGTGACATCGAGGTGACAAATATAAATAAAAATATTTCATTTTTGGATGTACAATTTTGATTCACTGAAACGCCAAACGGTTTATCTATGGAACGTCTAATGCTGACATCCATAGGACCTCCGTGCACAGGCTATTTATAGTCCAAATGTGGTCCTCGTGGATGTCTTTTCAATGTCAAATGTTTTTATACTGCTTTTATCGGCTCTGTAGTCACATGCTTCCAAAGGGTGGAGGGCATGTTTTCTGTACATAAACATCCATCCCATCCATTCACGTCCGCTTATCCTTTTCAGGGTCGCGGGGGGCGCTGGAGCCTATTCCAGCTGTCATAGGGCGAGAGGTGGATGCACCCTGGACAGGTCGCCAGTCTGTCGCAGGGCCAACACACAGGGACAGACAACCATTCGCGCTCACATTCACTCGCACATTCACATCTATGGACAATTTGGATTATCCAATTAACCTATCCCCACAAACTGCATGTCTTTGGATGGTGGGAGGAAGCCGGAGTACCCGGAGAGAACCCACGCAAACACGGGGAGAACATGCAAACTCCACACAGAAAGACCCTGGCCTGATGGTGGAATTGAACTCAGGACGTTCTTGCTGTGCAGCAAAGTGCTAACCACTGTGCCACCGTGCTGCCCCGTGTACATAAACAGTTATGTGTGAAGGAATGCAGAGTGTTCAGCGGAGATATCAGAGATAGCGCGGGCTCTTGAACTAAAACAAAAGTGAGCAGCTGAACGGTGGTTTGGAGCAGAAATGTCCCCAGCTTCTCACAGGCAGTGTGCTAAATATGCACATCAACAAAGATTGTCAAACAGATGGTTCAGTTCATACATACACACACATATGCATAAACTTATTGTACTTTCCATCACAACTTCTCTCAATCCAGCTACTGATCAGAAACACATTCACTTCCCTCTTCACAGTAAAACAGCATACTTGTAAAAATGAACCATATATAATTCAAATGCTCTTTTAAACCTGTTAAACCTGGTATTACTTTTAAAAGGAATTCTAAAAAAAAATTTAAGTACTAAAAACATTATTATTTTATATTTTAACATGGAATTCAATGTTTTTAATTTCTTGTAATTATAACAGCATTCATAGATGGTCTTACCCAAAACTCTCTAGAATGTGTGTACATAGTTTAATTTAATAGTTTAAACACTGTTTTTAGTACAATAAGTGAAACACCAAATAAGCCGGAACTAGCTATAGTTCTCCACCCCTGTCATCTGGGAAAGAGTTGCTAACAAGTGTGAACACAGGGATCCATTTAGACATGAATACTTTAAAACACAGTTAA